GGGAGGAAACCCTACAACCTGGACGTGACGCAGCTGACCACGGTGTGCGAGGACTTCTCCAACTCCGTGTCCACCGGCCTCATGCGGCCCCCGTGGCTCAAGGGCAAGTACATGTTGGTGCGCTACGAGGACCTGGCCCGGAATCCCATGAAGAAGACCGAGGAGATCTACGGGTTCCTGGGCATCCCGCTGGACAGCCACGTGGCCCGCTGGATCCAGAACAACACGCGGGGCGACCCCACCCTGGGCAAGCACAAATACGGCACCGTGCGAAACTCGGCTGCCACGGCCGAGAAGTGGCGCTTCCGCCTCTCCTACGACATCGTGGCCTTTGCCCAGAACGCCTGCCAGCAGGTGCTGGCCCAGCTGGGCTACAAGATCGCCGCCTCGGAGGAGGAGCTGAAGAACCCCTCGGTCAGCCTGGTGGAGGAGCGGGACTTCCGCCCCTTCTCGTGACCCGGGCGGCGCGGGTGGGGGCGGGAGGCGCACGGTGTAGGTTTTGATAAAATGGACCGTTTTTAACTGTTGCCTTATTTCCCCCTCCCTCTCCCACCTCATCTTCGTCTCCCTCCTGCCCTCAGCTCACCCCACTCCCTTCTGCCCCTTTTTGTCTCTGAAATTTGCACTACGTCTTGGACGGGAATCACTGGGGCAGAGGGCGCGTGAAGTGGGGTCCCGCCCCCACCCCACCCCATTCAGACACACGGATATTGGGTCTCTGTGCGGACGGTGACAATGTTTACAAGCACCACACTTACACATCCACACACGCACACGGGCACCCGCGAGGCGACTTCTCAAGCTTTTGAATGGGTGAGTGGTCGGGTATCTAGTTTTTGCACTGTCTTACTATTCAAGGTAAGAGGATACAAACAAGAGGACCACTTGTCTCTAATTTATGAATGGTGTCCATCCTTTCCCCATCCCTGCTTCCTGCCCCTGACACCCACTTTCCCCCTTAGAGCAGCGAAACTGCCCCCTCCTGCCCGCCCTTGCCTGTCGGTGAGGCAGGTTTTTACTGTGAGGTGAACGTGGACCTGTTTCTGTTTCCAGTCTGTGGTGATGCTGTCTGTCTGTCTGAGTCTCGTGGCCGCCCCTGGACCAGTGATGACTGATGAATCTTATGAGCTTCTGATTGATCTCGGGGTCCATCTGTGATATTTCTTTGTGCCAAAAAGAAAAAAAAAGAGTGGATCAGTTTGCTAAATGAACATTGAAATGCTTTATGTGTGTTTTCTGTAAATAAAAGAGTGCAATAATCTCTGCGTGTGATTGTGGGACCTTCTGAATGGGTACCAGAGGGCCTCAGCGGGGTCTGGGTGTTCCTGGCTTTGGGGAGGACAGCGAGAAAGAAGTGGAGGTGGGAATTGAACGACAAGTCTGCCTTTCAGAACTCTTGTCACCCTCAACACTGAGTTTAGTTTAGGGCTTTTTT